GGCTGGCACAGTTGGAGCCCCATTTCACACTAGAGGAACCAGAGGCCCAGAGGAGTTAAAAAATTTTCTCAAGGTCATCAAGTCTAGAAGAAAGAGCTAAAACCTGAACTTGAGAAGTCCAATGGCAGATTCCATGCTCCTAACCACTAGACTACACTGCCTTTCATATTTTATGATACAACATTTGCAGTTGAAAAGTAACAGGAATTATGTACCTGCTATCTAGGCTAAAGGAACAAAAGGTTGCCGGCAAATATCTTGGTGGTCCAGTGGCCCCTATTCAAGCACATATCCCCTAAGTCCTTACCTTTCCTCCCAAGTTAATCAGTATCCCAAGTTCTGGGTTAATTCCCCCATCCAAGTACTAAGCATGTCTGACCTTGCTCAGTTTCTGAGACTGGATGAAAATGTGTGCACTCAGGATGGTATGGCTACAATTTGGGTTAATTCTCTTGTTTATTTTTTTTTGTTATGGTTTTAATATCTGTATCCCTAAATGATATATCAGTAGTCTTTGCTTCATGTAAATGGAATTATATTCCCATCATCTATGTTTTATTTACTCAACTCAACATCACATGTTTGAGATTCTTCCTAGTTAAGGAGTACAGAGCTTTGGTTTATTCCTATTTGGGGATGTACAGTATTCTGTTTTTATTTTATATATCCTATGACTGGACATGCAAATTACTCCTGGTTTTTGTAACTAAAAATGATTCTCTGGGCATCTTTTTGCATGACTGATGATGTCACAGTTGCTCCAGGGAAGTGGGCTCTCAAATTTTAGCAGCATCAGGTTCACCTGGACGGTTGGCTAACACAAAAATTGTTCGTCCTATCAGTGGAATTTTGATTTGGTTGTTGTGGAGCAGGGCTTGAATGTTTGCCTTTCTAATTAGTTCTCAGGTGTTGCTCATGCCATGTGGCCCAGAACTCTACCTTCAGAACCACCGATGCAAAGACAGACCCAGGGGTGCACACTCCACTTTACCAGGTATGCCAAGGTCAATGACTTCTTTAGAGCTATTTCTAAAAATAGAAAGTGCTGTGTCCTTGGAACTCCCATTGACAGTTGTTCCACCTCCTTGCTAACTCTTACAATCAGATGATCAATCAGACATTCAAAGTGTTGTCAATCTGGTGAGAAAATACATCTCAATGTGTGTTTTTATACTTCTCTGATTATTAAGGTCGAGTATTTTGCCATATATTCATTGGTCACTGCTCCTCTTCTGTGCAACGTCTGGCTGATTCCTGCTCATTTTTCTGATTTTTTTTTTTTTGTGTGTGTGTTCTCTTTATTGCTTGATGAGAGTCCTTTTTATAGAATGGATAACAGTCCCTCTTCAGTTAGCTATACAAGTTTCAAATACCTTCTCCCAGTTCATAAATTGTCATTTTACTCTTTTGAAGAACTAAAGTTTGTAATTTTGACACAAATTTATCAATCTTCTTAAAACAACTGTGCTTTCTACATTTTGTTTAAGAAATCCTTCCCTATTCCAAGGACCTAAGATTATCTCCTATGCTGTTTTCTAAAAATTGTATTTATTTTGGCCTTTCACATTCAAGTCTTACTTTATCTGGATTTGAGTTTTGTTTATTTTGTGAGATAAAAACCAATTTTTATTATTTCCACTGGCTTTATCTTAGCATCTAGTAGGGAAAGATACAAAAAAAAAAAAAACCCAAACAAAAAACATATATAGCCCTGAAGAAATGTTACAAACATTCTTGGCATCCTGTCCTTCAACACAGTACTTAGAATCAGCTTGTTAATTTCCTCAGAGGGCTGGGGATATAGGTCAGTTGGTAGAGTGCTTGCCTTGCATGCACAAGGCCCTGGGTTCAATCTCCAGCACCACAAAAACAAAAAACAAAAAAAATAACTCCATGGATATTTTGGTTATAATTGCACTGATTCTATAGTTTAATTTAGAATAAAGTTATCTTTATAATGTTCTTATTAAAGAATATGTATATGTTCATAATTACATCTTCTATTTTAATTGCTGCTGCATCTGAGTTATTACTCTTTTGTATTCCTAATACTGTTTATTTGTCCCTCCCCTTTTTGATTAATCTTTCAGAAAATTTATCTACTTTATTAATTTTTATTGCTTTTTAATTGCTTTCTTGGCATTGTGATAAAACATACATAAAATAAAATTTAGCATATTGACCATTTTAAAGTTTATATTTAAAGCACACATTTCGGTGGCATTAAGTACACGCATCATTGTGTAACCATTACCACCCTCTGTCTCCAAGTGTTTTTTCATCTTTCCTAGCTGAAACTCATTACCCATCAGGCTCCAACTCCCCATTCTTCCCTCTCTACAACCACTGGCAAGCATCATCTCTATTTTCCATCCCTACAGAGTTGATTACTGTAGGTCAAATTCATGTAAGTGGAATCATACAATACTGGTCCTTTTGTGATCACCTTACTTCACTTATGTGAGTGTAAAGTGGCATCTCACTGTGGTTTTGACTTGTATTCGCCTAATATGTTGTTTCAAAAGATGAAATTTTGGCTTTATAATTTATTTTTATTCTACATTTATTCTCTCACTGGTCTTAATTTTTTTTCCTTCCATTATTTTCCTGATATTTATACTTCTTACATTAGGTGCTGTTATTGAATTAAGGACCACAGACTTAACATTTTAAATTAACACAGATTTTGACTCATGGCCCGCACAAAGGAAAAGTACACACAGTCTGCAGGTAGACGGCTCCATCCTTTGGCTCTGTCCACAGAAGTTATAAGAATTCCTTTGTACATGTTTATGTGGAAAATATAGGCAGAACTCACCAAATAACATAAGTCAGCCCTCAAAGTCTTACTCCAAGAAACAACTTTCTCTGTGATTAAGGGCCTCTTCCTGTGGTCAGGGACCCCATGACACCAGGGGAGCTTGGATAAAGTTCCCTCAGGATGTGGAAAGAAGGGAGTCACTTAAAGGCAGGTCAGCGGTGAGTAGTCTTCATCTGTGCTGAGCTCATTAAATTAGAAAAAAAGAAGGCTTGGGGCTGGGGTTGTGGCTCAGTGGTAGGGTGCTCGCCTAGTATGTGTGAGGCCTTGGGTTAGATCCTCAGAACCACATATAAATAAAAGGTACTGTGTACAACTACAACTAAAATAAATGAATAAATATTTTAAAAAAAGAAAAAAAGAAGGCTCAAAATTCAATCTTTAAATTGTTGTTATGTAGTATTATTATTCAGGTGCAAGTAATTTCTAATTTGCAGTATGACTTCCTCTCTTGGTTAATCAGTTGTTCAGAAGCTTGGCTTTTATTCTATGTGGGTTTCTCTTCTACTAGTTTAGGAGTTGGATGTTCTAGTATTTTAGTTGTTTCCTTAGCTAGTTAAACTTTTTTTCTCAAAGTGTAAAATTAAGTATCTTTCACCTCTTCACAAATAGAAGAACCATAGCATCTCAAAGTTGATTACTATTCCTCTTTACTAATTTATTTGCTATTTTGTTCAGTAATTTAGTGTCTGATTTTTAACTCCACACATCAGACATTCTTATTATTTTATACAATAAATATATATTTAAATACATCTGTACATTTACTAATTTTTTAGCTTAATAATCTCTCTTCTCAGGTCTTCCACCTTGGATGATTTCCTTTTTTCATGTGAGTATGTCCTTTAGAATTTTCTTCAGAGGAGACTGGTTGGCAGTAAAATTTCTCAGTTTTTGTGTGACCTGAAAATTTTCTTACTTCATCCTCTTTATTGATAGTTTTATTACATATTAAAAACTTTCAGGATGACAGTTTTTTTTTTCTTTAAGCCAATTGAAGATACAATTCTATTGTCTTTTAGCTCCTATTGTTGCTTTTGAAAAGTTGTCCATCAGTCTAAATGACAGCTCTGTGTATATGTTTGTCTTTCTAGCTGCTTCGAATATCTTAGGTGAAGTCAAGTTTTTTAGTTTCACTAAGAAGTATCTATTTACAATTTTCTTCTTCTTTTTCCTTCTGGCTGAGATTTATTGGTATGTTTGAATCTTAGGGTTAGCACTGGGAACTTTTCCTTCAGACTTTCTATAGTATTTCCATTTGGAAATTTATTTAGAGCATCTTACATCATCCTCCTAGTCTCTTAGTCTCATTTCACATTTTCTCTTCTCTTTGTCCCGCTGAGCCATATTTTGGGTTATTATTCAGAAGCATTTTCTAGTTCACCCACATTCTCTTTAACTGTCTCTAATCTCTAATCTGTTTAATTCACTGAATTATTGATTCCTATTTTTATATTTTCATCTCTAGAAGTTTAATTTCCTGATTTAAAAAATGTGCTTTGTTGTTTTGTAGTCTCTTATCCTTGTTCACATTTTTTATGCCTTTTAAAAGATTTTTGAGTCATGTTAAAAAATTTATATTTTTGATAAATCCAGTAAGGAAATATTTACAGGTCCAATTCTACTGTTTCTGTTGTTATTGTTGGCTTTTAATCATGTTGACTTGTTTCTTTGTGTTCCAGTTAAAGCTGCCTTTCTCCAGGGGTGAGTTCTATTTATTTGTGAGAGTCTTCTAGGGGTAAGGTATTAACATTGTCACTATACTTCAATCTTTTTCTCCCTTCTCAATGTTTCTCAAAAACAAAACAAACAAGCAAACAACAACAACAACAAACACCAAACAATTATCCAGTGGATGAAAATCCATACTGGAAAGGATCTGTCACCACCTACATCAGCAGGATCTAATACTGGAAGATATAAAGTAAGAATGTGAAAAAGATTTGCTGTTAAAATTTCTCAACAAATTAAATTCTTTGCCACTTGTATCTTGGGTCAACTTAAGGAGGACTTTCACCTGGCCAAGAAAGTGAAAGTCAGTTCTGGTGTGTTCGGTTCTGAATCACCCATGTCAGCCTCTATTATAAATCATGCATGATGAAACTGCACGTTGCTGTTTGTTTCGGTCATGTCATGCAAGACTGTGTAGGGAACAACCCCATGATCATAGAAAGGCACAAACCTGTGAGGGTCATCTGGATCACAGTTAGGAAGAAACTGAGTGATTGCTTCTGCCACTTCTTCATTTGATAAAACATCCCACAGTCCATCAGTGGCCAAGATCAGCACATCATCTGCTCCATGCTCATATTTAGAGAGATCGTAGACTCTTACCTGAAAAGAACAGGAACATGCCTTTTATGGTCTGTAACAAACTGACTTCTTATTCCTCTTCCCTTTTCCTACCTAGCTTAGTGGTTTCCAGGTATGCATTGTAAATTACTTGAGTATACAGCAAGCTTTGTGGCCGAGGGTATATTCCTTTGAAGATTTGCCATACAAACATATAGGCCCAATACACAACTGTGAAAGAGCCTAAGAGGTGGGCTTAATAATTAGATTAGAATAATTAGATGAAAATGTAATGCCTGAGGTGGAGTTAGAATATGACCAAGTGGGCATGGTGTGAGCCAGAAGATCAGTAAGGACCTTGCTTCCTGCTCTTCCTTTGCATATTCACTTAGCAAACATTTATTAAGGGCCCACCCTGGGGCTGGGGATATAGCTCAGTTGGTAGAGTGCTTGCCTCACATGTACAAGGCCCTGGGTTCAATTCCCAGGAAAACAAAAACAAAAAACTATTTCTTTAGGACTAAAGGGACATACTTCACCTAAGGCATTCATGCAAAATCCTTGCCTTACTTGTTCTGAGGTCCAAGGGACCAGATTCCTCTGTGTAAGAATGGGGCTCACACTTCATTCAGATTTGATGAGTTCCAATCTATGCTAAGTGCCAAAGGAATCCGCTCAGTCCAAATCTTCAAAGTGTGCCTTTGTCTGGACAAACATTAAGTCTTTCCTCACCTTCAGCACCTTGAATGACTTGGATATTTCAACATTTACCTAAGTTCTTTAAAACAAATAGAACAGCCCTGGCAAAACTAAAAAGAATAAAAATCAAGTCTTATTTGAGTTAGGTGACAACTCCATGTTCACCCTATGTGGGCAGGGTTGGGGATACGTAGGGAGGCGTGGGGAGGAGTTTGGGGTTTTATTGCTATTCCTACCTAATTTGGTAGAATCAGCCCCTGCCTATACCACTTCATCAACTGACGACTAAACTGGTCAATTTAGGCTGGGGGCCATGGTGCATGCCTGTAAATCCCAGCAACTCTGAAGGCTGAGTCAGGAGGATCCAAAGTTCCAGGCCAGTCTCAGCAACTTAGTGAGACCCTGTCTCAAAATAAAAAAAGTAAAAAGGGTTGGGGATGCAGCTTAGTGGGAAAATGCCCATGACTTCAATCCCAGTACAAAAAAAAAAAAAAAAAAAAAAAGCAGGTCAATATAATCAATCTCCTTCACCCCCTCACTTCTCTGTCATGTTTTATAAAAGTGAGACTGAATAAAAGCTATAGTTCAGGGGATGAGGGAGAAAATAGAGGATGATGGAGCCTGTGTAACTTCCCATGTGTCCATCACATATTCAGCATTTTGTCACCTCATATCTAGAGACAAAAGAATTCTAAGAAGCTTACCAGCTGTTTGAATGCAAGTCTTTGACAGTCAAGCCTCCCATGTTTTTGTAAGGTTTGCCTGGGCCAGTGATACCCAGTGGGGTGCTGGTCCTTTGGGTTAGCATTCTATCCCCAGCTGCAGAAAACAACAAAATGCCTACCCCTGAACCTTGGTAAATGAGCTCAAATGAAAAGCAGTTACCAGGTGCCAGGCCTCTGTGGCCTGCATATTATATGGTAACAATTAGCTAATAGCCCAGAATATCAACCACACCCAGGGGAAGTGCACTCAGGGGCATATTGCACTGGCTTCTAACATCATCTCCTCAAAAGGCATGCTCCTTCAAGGTTACAGATACTTAAGCTTCTAGCAGACTGGAAAGTCCCCAAATGCCAGAATTTTATCCTCTAATTTTCACCCTTTTTGCTTTATCTCTGCAGTTGCCCAGTGTGTGAGAGCAGGGTTTCTCAAATGTTATTGCACACAGCAATGACGGGGGATCTTGTTAACATGCAGACTCTACTTCAGGTCTGGGCAGGGGCTTGAGAGTCTCTTGTTCTCCCAGGTGATACCAAAGGTCAGGTCCATGGACCACACGGTGAGGAACAAGGTCATAGAGAAGCCCTCTGGGTCGGGTTTGTGAACAAGGAAATCAAGGGCCCTGCAAGCTCTGTAATACCACACACACTGTTCCCTAGAGTAGAAAGGACAGCAAATGTCATTGTGTTGTCACTTCCAGTATGCAATAACTTTGCATACTGGACACTGCTAGCTTTACAGCTTCATATCTACAACAAATTTCTGTGATAATTTGAGCTCCAATGAGGATGTCAGACAGCCCAATCTTTTGCTCGCAGTTAAAAAGAAGATTCTAATTAATGTCCAGCTCCTTCTAACAGAGATGTTTCCAAATCTGAAGATATTCACTGGATTTCAGAATCTTTCCAGTGATGAGGGTTCCAAAACCTTTTTGAAATGCTTCCTGCTGACTCAAGAACTATGACAGGTTGAGTTTTCAAGCTAAAGTTGTCCTGCCTAACACACCCATGAAAATCTGGCCAAAAGAACAGGGTGAATTCATACATACAAACAGGCTAGAAAATGCTACTCTTCAATTCCATCAATAAATGGAATCCTTCCCTACTTCTATTCACATTTCCACTCACAGCTCACTAATGCAGTTTCATTAGCTAACATGAAAGTCCCTTTCAATACCATTCTCCACGTAATTTTTATGTCAATAATAAAAAGCTAGTAGCAACCCTATTCCCCTAGGCACCCCTCAATTAACATCCTTTTAGGTTTTTACTGCTACCCTTTGTTTCTTGCCCTTTAGCCAATTTCCAAAGGGCTTTGCCAACTTTCCACTTACAACTCGGGTCTTATACATTAACCTATGATGCAGAACATTTTGTGAAAATGCTTTCAGAAAAATTGGATTGCCATGCAAGTCACCCCGCTGCATGCTCATCCTCCCCAGAACTGAGGACTTCAAAGGATTCCAGAGGCCTCTGGAGCTCTGGCTTTCCCTCCCTGAAGCTATTGTTGGCTTTCCTCAATTGAACCACACTCACCTCCCCAAAGTTCCCGGGCTCAATTTCTGAAATAGCTTCTCAATGTTCTTGGAAGCCTCCCATCAAACTAATGGGCTCTGAGGCTCCCTGGGTCTTAGACATCTGGAAGAGAGTCTCAGCAGTCTCAAGGGAGGGAGGTGCCTACAGAACTACCTTTGTCTGAAGGGGGCTGGAGAACATGGTCAGTGCTTCCCATGGTTCCTTCCCTGGTTCCCATCTGGATGGGAGCCAAAGACTATGGAACTCCCTGGGTCTTGTGGCTTCTTAGAACAACATAAAGATATTCCTTGACTTATGACGGGGTTATGTCTTAAAAAACCCATTGTTAAATTAAAAATATTGTAAGTTGCACCTAATACAACTAAATTACTGAGCATTATAGCTCAGAACACAGTATAGTGTAGAGTACTGGCAGATGCCCCTTAGGACTGTGCGCTGTGGCTTGATGCTGCGACCCAGCATTGCGGGGCAGTATCACACTACATATTGATAACCTGGGAAAAGATCAAAATTCAAAATATGGTTTCTACTGAAAATGTATTGCTTTTATACCATTTTTTTGATTTAAATAAAATGGAAAAAATTGTAAGATGAGGACCATGTGTAATCTGAGCGACTAAGCTGGGGGTCTGTTTGATCCCTCTAGCTTCATTATTTGCCTAGAGAGCATCTGTTATGTGCCAAGCACTGGGAAAAATAGTGAACAAAAGTGACAAAGTTTCTCAAGTTCTAATCTTAGTAGACAAGGTGACACAAATCACAATAGCAGAGAATGACAGGTGCTCTGAAGCGATAAGGCAAGGTAAGGAGCACAACAGAGTCAGTTTAGAAGATGTGGTTATGGGGGGGCCTCTCAACGATGTTACCATTTTGAACAAGTGAGGTGATTCCTGATGGATCCCTTCCTGCATCTTCTGTTCCTGTTACTCCTCTTGATTAAAGAGTATGTGGATAGAGTGTGAAACTATTGGTAAGCAAGTGGGGCTGAAAGGAATGGATACTACCCTTTATTGTGACAGAAATCCTAGGGAAGACCAAAGAACAGCCATTGTTCTCTCCCCTAATCCTTTGCAGGCACAGTATAGTACTTCAAGTCCCCTAATGCAGTATTTACCTATATGTATACATCTAGGTTCATCTGTCTGTCTCCTCTCCAAGATTAGTTATTCTGAAATTTTCATGTATTTAAGAATCACATTGAGTGCTATTTAACCAATCCACGGGCTCCATCTTTATAAATTCTAATCATTTAGATCTGGGCTGGGGCCCAGGTGTCAAAGTAAATAAGAACCCCAAATAATACCTATGAAAGTGGTGGGGGTATCTCATGTTGAAAATCACCGTAATAAGCAATTAACTTCTCTAGGGCATGGTCTGCCTTGTCCTATTTGTTTCTGTGCCTAGAACAGAGCCTAATGCTTGGTAACAACTCGGTAATCAAAAGAAGCATTTCCCTTGCAGGACATTTACCCTTGTCTAGTAAATAATGAACACCAAGGGAGGTGGTCATCTTATCTTCCACCCAAGATTCAGCTTCTAGAAACCAGAGATTCCATTAGGCATTTTTTTTTTCCTGTGGGCCTAGAAGTATCTTTTACAGTGTTGGCCACAATAGCACTTCAGGAAATACTTGCTGAGACAAAGAATAAATAGGAGCAGAAAAAAAAAAATTAAACCATGAGATCCATTCAGAAAATCATGGTGACCCAACAGTTCTACTCCTCAAGAATCATCCAAAAGGACTGTGCTGACATGTAACAGGGGTACCATTTTCCTTTTGCTGCCCTTTCCTCAGTAAAGCTACCAACAAACAAATAAACAAGGGGAAAAAAAGTCAGGAATGAGTCTGGGGGCACAAAAGACCCTTGGCTAATGTGCCCTGAATGAGTCAAGTGTAGCTTTCTCACTGGGCTCTTGGCTTCTCAGCATTAGAGATGTTCTAATGTCATCACTGGCTCCTATTTTAACAGAAGCTAGTGACAAGCTACTCTTTAATCCAGTCCCTCCCTGAGCCCTCAGCTGCAGGCTGCTGTTTCAGCATTTGTCTGATATGCACCCCTGTCTTTGTCCTATTACTGATGATAT